GTTACAATCAGACAACTTAAGTGTAGAAATACAAGATACAATTAGACAACTTAAGTGTAGAAATACAAGATACAATTAGACAACTTAAGTACAGAAATACAAGATACAATCAAGAGAAAAATAAAAAAAATACTTTTTGTGTATGTTATAGGAATCTCTTTAGGTGAGTTAAAGTTAGATTAGGTAAAATAAATAATAATAATAATATAATAAAAAATGTTTCACGAGGCATGCATGCAAGCAGCTGGGAGTAGCTTGTGGGAATGTAATTCGATAGCATAATGTGAGCTCCACGTTGCCCAAATGATTTACAACTTCTAATGGCACGAATAGTAGTTAAAAGATGGTTGAAAGGACAAAAAAAACAATAAAATTTACATATAAGTAGATGTATACTGTTATAAGTTTAAAGCTACATAGGATAAACGAAAGTAGTTTCATGTTACAATTTGAAGTCATTCTATAAAGAAAAGAAGGTTAATTTGGTTTATTTCGATTTCTTTTTTGGTGGTTACGAGGTTGGTCGAATTAACCAATCCTGTTTTGAGATAGGGTAAAGAAAATAACATATAAACTGTATGGATTTAGTGAAAACAAAAGTGTGAAACGTATTTAGGAAATTTTAGGGATTACACAAAGGAAATTTGAGATTTTTGAGATGAAGTATTTTAATATTAACGTGAAAATCACTTTGCACACGGACTGGTAAAAAAATAAACAAAACTGATATATTTATGAACAAATCTGCTTTTTTGTGAGTAAAAAACTTATAATGGTTACTGAAATTCTGATAAATTTTGTGAAGATATATATATTATATTAAAATGTAGTAGTATCAAAACTATAACGATTTTCAGTGTGTACAATGTGGTCACGTGGTCGGTCAATTTGACAGAACCCGTGTAGAGAAGTTTTTACAATCAATAAAAACTAAAAATTTACCTCAGAATGTATAAAAATCTCACTTGCAATAAAACCATATTTACTACAAAGAAAGTTATTTGTAACAGAATAACCTGAAAAATGTGTTAATTGGAAGACAATCAATTTAGAAATGTACAATAAAAATGTATTCTTACTCTGCACTTTTTAGACTTACTGTTTCTCAGGTAGAAAGCTACAAAGTAAGTGTAATCTGAACCAGATACATGAAACAGGAAGGTAAGTTTTTACGGTAGAGAATGTTTTTTCAGATCACATTGACTTCATATCTCTCTACCTTACCCGATACATAAAACATTGCTCCATCTGGAAGATCAGTCTTGAATTCTAGCGAGAAAGTGCTCTCATCCAATAGTGTGCTTGTACGTACATAAAATTCGCGTCTAGCCCATGGAGAATTACCATAACGCATCCCATCTTCTGCAGTAACATCAGGATCACTTAGTGGTGAAATAGGTAGCTTACATAGACCATAAGGAGTTGGGTAGGGAACAGTGGGCTCTAATGTTGTGGGCAAAGTAGTAGAGGGTAGAAGAGTAGTAAAAATATCAAAATCAGGCTTTTGGATTTCCTGGTCTTCAGTAGTTTCTTCTGTAAACACAAACCAAATATTTTAATATGAAGTAATGTTACTGTATTAAACTAAAGTTGCCTATTGGATTTCTTAAACGTTTTTCAAGAAATAAAAATCTGTTTTTCTAACCAAAAGTGTCAAAATTTAAAGAACTACACTCCTATTATATTATGGTAATGTTTTAGCATGAACTAGCAATAACATTATAACATCGTACAAGATATCTGAGGTAATATTTATTTCACAACTTGTACTTGTATGATGTCACATATTTACCTTCTGTATGGTCTGGTGAAACAGTGGAGTAGTCCACCACAGGTGGCTCTGTAGTCACTTCATCAGGATCGGCTAGTGGGCAACTGGTTAATGAGGATCCCGGCCGATCTTGGGAGTCGGCAAAGTTCTGGAATTGATTGTTAACAGTCGTGTCTCCTATACAGCCAATGAAAGTTTTTACAGATGCTGCAGCTTGGGGCTTTATGACATAGTCCTGGGGGACTCCACCAAAGTACAGGGGTGTTGTGATGGAAATTTCATTTTTGTCTGATGTTTCTTGGTTAAAATCATACAGGTCATCAATATCCAGTCTCAACTGATGTAACGTTTTTGTTGCTGTAACATAGTGCCAGTTTTTGTCGTTGTACTTCTTGGAGGTTGCTGTCCTTATTTCGCCACCTGGATTACTCTTCATCACCAAGTGCCCGTCAGCCAGCGCTATAGACAGGTAGCTGCTCTGTTCCTCGTCTGCAGCATAGAATATTAACCCATCAGGTTCAACAGTCTTAAATTTAAACGTTAGCTGAGCATATTTATTAAGATGACTTTTCATGCTTGTCCTTCTCATGGCCACATAACCAGGACTTTCGTTAGAGAAAGAAACAGTTCGAGCAATCTGAAATATAGCAGAACCAGAATTATGAAAATAAATATTTATCTAATTAATACATGAGACGGAATGAAAATACTTTTAACAATTACAAATAAAATGCTTAATTTTTCAAGTTTTAAAAATAATCCTATTAAAACTTTACAGCTTACAAAAAATAATTAACCTCTTCTTTCCTAAGAGCAAATCAAACCTGACCTCAAAAGCTTCTTGATAATAGCGATTACTTTTCAACGATACTGACTCATAACTCATATTCATGATGTTAGAATAACACGCAGGTTCAAGAAGTCTTAATAGAAAATTAATAAAAACCCTATAACCCGAGCACTTACGAAAGGGGGACCTTTAGAAAGCACTCAAGTTATAGAGTTTTTATTCATTTCTAAGATAACTCATATTTTCATTGAAATCACTTATTAATTAAAAGTAATAGAAAAGTTCCTTTCCAAAGAACCTTGTACTGTGGATAATTCTCTAAGCCTAGAAACTTACAGTAGCAGGACATCCTGGGACAACTCCAAGAGCTTCCTTGTTCTTATTAAGGTCTTCGTTTGCTGTTCCAATTTGTAGATTCTGGATACAACCTTCAAAGTTCACATTGGTGATTTCTCTGAAAGTCCGTTGTATAAATATTATCAAATATCTTCTTTAAATGGTTATTTTAACAAGAGCCTAATACAGTAGCACCAACATGTACACCAATGAATTCAAGCCATGATTCATGTAAATACTCCAGAAAGAGATGTTTGTAGGATACTAACCAAAGTTGATTAGGAACAACTAGTTTATAACATGTACATGTGTACTCATACAAAACCTTGGATTTTCCTCACAAGCAAAATAACGGGGTTTAAAACACTACAGATTTTATCAAAACTAGCCATAAAACATTCATTGGGAGGGTGTAGATCTTATAACTCTTTAACATCAAAACTAGCCATAAAACATTCATTGGGAGGGTGTAGATCTTATAACTCTTTAACATCAAAACTAGCCATAAAACATTCATTGGGAGAGTGCAGAGTCCATTTGTTAAAAATTAAAAGATCTACACCCTCCCAATGAATGTTTTATGACTAGTTTTGATATAAGTTCTTTATTTACTACAGCTTTTACAATGAATTTATCTTCTGAATCACCATGCAATTAAACACATCTTTAGCTTGTAAATTCTGTCATTATGTCCTTAGGTAGAGTTGTAATAAGTCTAAATCAGTCATGGTTATGATTTAGTTAATACTTATTTGCTATATTTTCTAGAAATCACCAATAAGTTTATGTTTCAGTTACCATCCTCTTGCTCTCATTGGAGTTGTATATTTTCTCAAGTAACTATGAAATGACACTAATCTTTAACCTGAAGGTATGTATATCTACATATCTGCACTAATAAATATATTTTTAATTTAAATGGACTTACGTGTGAGTATGGCCTCCTGGGTAACCACCAACATAAATATCCCTAGTCTTTTGTAGTTCAACTTCCGAAGCTAAGCCACTATCTACCTCAACACTGTTAATCTGAAAATATAAATAAGAGCTTACCAATTTTTACAAGCTCGTCATTCATAATTTTGAATTTTTATAGCTCATTTCACATAACTATAGATAGAAATGATCGCTGCTTATCTAACTATGAAATAAAAACTTGTATATCTAAGTCTGACAACTATGAAATTAGGTTACATTGCTCTGTACTAAACTGATTTTTAACAGAAAGTATACTGACAAACGTTTTCTACTGCAGGCCTTTCCACTACTACCAAGGAACTTTCATATGTTACAGTGCGAACCAGTCTTAGCAATAAATATTTTCATTTTACATAGGTCTGACTAAAGAAAAGGGTTTAACAAGACGATGTCAGGTTGTGTTATGTACGTGCTACATATATTACTCCCCTATGCTATCTATAATATATCAACAAAGTTGTTAAATTCTTCCAAAGTTATTATTCAGAATATTCTTATGAGTGGTGTGTTTATGATCTGAGGCTGAGATCAGAGGATACCTGAAAAACTCGGAGAAGTACTCCAATCAACACAGTGCTCCCCGAAATTTCAGCAAGCTTTCCACCCACCCTTGGAGAAGTATTCCAATTAACATAGCGCTCCCTGACACCACAGCAAGCTTTCCACCCACCATGATCATTGAACCATTTCCTGGCCCCTCCAGAATCCCTGACAAACATTATGCAAGAATATTAGTGGAATGTTTTCATAAAGGGCTAACCAGCTGTGGTTATATTGACATTCAAGGGGGCAGTCTGTATAGCAAGCAGGAAAGGTTGGCATATAATGCTGCATGGGGAAAGACGAGCTATAGTGGGAAGATGATGTTTGTCAACCTGACCTTATCAACTATCAGTAACATGGTCCTTACTATACCCTTCACATGATGTTTGTCAACCTGGCCTTACAACCCACTCAACAACATAGTCCTTACTACACCCTTCCCATGATGTTTGTCAACCTG